TACTACTACCTACTCCACTACACTCACTACACTCACTCACTCACTACACTCACACTACTACTACTACTATATATAGTCTACTACTACGTACGTACTACTCACACACACACACACACACACACACACACACACACACACACACACACACACACACCATTCACCAGCAGACAACTGGTTGTGGAGCCAGAAAATGGCACTGACAGATGGCGAGCAGCTACACTGAGTCACACTCATCTAAACAGCAACAATAAGCAGTCATGGTCTTAAAGGATTTCCAGAGCGTCAGGATCTCCAAACCAGCAATCCAACGCTCTCTATTTCATTTATCAATCATTGTTGATGAATGATATATTGAACAGATGTTGTTGTTTTGCCAGACTCCCGCCCGTTTGATGCATTTCTTATTAATCTGTTTCTGTGTTTATACCCGCCTGATAATGACCGAAGGTACCAAGTCTTAAAATATGATATTGTTATGCATCCATGCAATGTGCAGCAAAGCCAGTTTCAGAGTGCAGAAACATATTTCGACAGTGATCTCTTAAATCCAGCAAAAGTCCCTTTACCAGGTGTTGGAACAATGGAGAATGTGTGCACAGATAGAAGACCAACAATGAGTCTATGGTGAGTAATTGGTAATGCATAAACTAACTTTTATCATATAGTTAGTTTATTGTTTTGTAAAATGTTAAGGGGCCCTATGATGCTCATGTTCAGGTTCATATTTGTATTTCTTTCCTCTACTGTGACATGTCTCCATACTTTAATGTTCAAAAAGCTCTTTATTTTCTCATACTGCCTGTGCACCTCTTTCCCCCCTCTGTCTGAAACCAGAGCCCAGTCTGCTCTGATTGGTCGGCTGGAGATGTCCCGCCCCTTAGCCTATCCTTACAGTGTGTTAGGCCAATTGAAGCGCAAGTGTAACTTATTGTTACTGAAGTAAAGAAAGGAGTCCAATGGAGGCGTTTCAAGCAGGGTGTGTCTCACGTGTCAAATGTAAACCTTTTTCTCAAACCAAAACATTTGGATTGTTAATTTGTTGTTTGTTTTTGTCGGGTGAATGCATGTACAGTATATGTGGAGCAGCATGCAATCAAAATAGAAGGATCATCACCTCGCAGTGGTTAATCCTCACCTCCACGTCCAAAGGTCAGAAACAGGTCGTGTAGGCCAGTGGAAAATGAGTCACAGTCACACACAGAGCTACATGTGAGTCCCAGCTGGATTTACAGTAGCACTGGGATGTGTGAATACATCAGCTAATAGGCGCTAAGGCTGCTGTATTTTAAAATGGGAAGGTGATGAATGGTACTTAATGAGAGTAGCCCGATTAGCAGAAGAACATAAACATGTCAACACAGCAATGTTGCAGACAGAAGACACGTGATTTTAAATCTTCCATTGCCATGCCATGCCAGATATTTGGCACAGGAACAGATTGCTTTGGTGACTTACTTATCTCCCTGTTCTGGAAAAAATAAGCCAGAATTCCTTGAGTTCCTGAGTTGTGTGAGACGGGCCGGCTGTATTTGGGTCCTAGATGGACTGGAGGTTTAGAAACAACCAAAGGACTGATGGTTATGTCAATGTTTCCTGGTAAACACTCCCCACCTAAACCTTAATAAATCGGCGGGCTGTGGGAGGCGTGTGGTGCAGTGGGTTGTGTGTTGGTGTTGGGATCAGGGGGTCACAGGTTCAAACCCCACTGCAGTCAGCATGCCGTTGTGTCCCTGAGACACTTCACCCCAAATTGCTCCTGTGGGGATTGCCCACTAACAAGTAACATGTCATGTAATGTAAAGCATAACAAAGCTGCTGCGCTAACTTCCAGTTTCCAGTTTATTCATCACGTACACCTAGATCAGGGGTGTCCAAACTACGACCCGGGGACCAAATGCGGTCCGCTGATTATTTTTGGATAGGCCCTCAGCAAATTCAAAACGTATAATGACTTAAGTATAATAAACTTCTGCTTGTCTTATATTGTACTTGTTAAATATATATGTTCAAATATTTTAAACAGTATTTATGTGTTAATAAGCCCAAATTTCAAATAAATTCAGTCAATTAAAGTTGAAAACATGTTTTAACAAATCTAAGTTGATAAGAAAAATGCCCAATAACAAATGTACATAACAACCTTGAAATATACCCTTCATATTTCCTCTTCTTATAAACAATCTGAAGCTTCTGTTTTAAGGAATGAGCTGCTAACAAAATAAATAAAAGCTCTGGAGAGCTGTGATGTAGGCAGCTTTTTTCTAACAGCATTTTCAAGTATCAAGAATAATTTAACTATATTGGATGGATTTTTCCAACTTATAACTTAACTTATGAGGCAATATACAGTACCTCGCCTCTAGTGAGTGGCCCAGCCCTTCGTATATTGTTCTGTATGTGGCCCTCGTGAAAAAACACCCCTAGATACATCTAAAGCTAAACAACCCTGCAACAATCCTTCTGTTTGAAGCTGCAGTTTGTGGTGTTGTTGGATTGTATTGCATTATACAGAAAGGTATTTTTAGTATGTCCAACCCACTATAAGGAAATAGTTAATAACAAAACAAAACAGATGCAGGAAAGGCTCCAACTAACAATTACTTTCATGTTTCTTAATCTCTCAATTCATTTATTGATAAAAAAATTGGTTGTTTGCTCTGTACAATTTCAAAAAATGGTGATCAATGTTCCAATATGGTGTCCTCAGATACAGTAGCTCTAACTCAACTATATTAAGCTCACTGTCATAGAGAAGTAAAGAAGATCATATTCATATTTACGAGCTGGAATGAGAAAAAATATTGACTTAAAAATGTTAACTTACAACAATAGAATTGACTAAAAATCTAAAAATGTAAGCAATTTATCTAATAGTTGACAACTTAATTTATTTAGCAGCTTTAATTGCAGTGCTCCTCTATTATTTAGACTGTATAAGTTATAGATGAGTTGTACACTAACTGGCAATTGAGTGTAGAGCTTTAATCTACTAGAATCACATTTTCCGATGTGAAAAAGTATGGAAATAAATATTAAACTCTATTTTAAACGGGTGTGTTGAATCAGCACTTTCTATTTGTGACACACAAACATTGTACTTAACAATACATGATAAGTGAAATTGAATGTAAATGTAAATAAGTATGTCTAATTATCTTGGTAGCCTACCTGGTGGAGACACATTTAAATACACTTAAATGATACATAATTCAACTCAAAAAATAACATCTGTATTTATTTACAGTGATATAGCTTTGTTATCAAATTAATTATTTATGAAATTGCTCCCATCTGATTTCCCATTTATCATGGTTCTTTCATTCGTCCATTCCTGATATGATTATGGTATAATAATAT